AAAAGCAAAACACCACAACTGAGCACCTTCGCAGGTCTTACATTAGTTTGCTTTAAAATTCTAGACTGATCAAATCTCTGCAATTGAAGGCCCCACACTTTTGAGAGACCTACCAGAGGAGACACGGTTTGCAAAGACAGTTTCATCCTCTAGGTCTCCTCTAAAAAAATCATTTTGGCTCATTTATATTTTATATTAATCATGCGGTGATGCCTCTGATCACATTTTTAATACACTTTTTGTAAGCAGCCACTTTAAGTTGTATTCTTTGTGTCGACTACTGTTTTATTGAAGAACAAATTGTTTAGCCACACTAGGTTAGGATCAGCATGGTGTGCCATACCTTTATCAGCCCTGATTAAAGCAAACAGGTAGAGAGAAAGCTGATTAACACCCAGGATTTTACTGTGGGCGAAGGGCCGGAATTAGCAACTCACTCCTGGTTGCACAACAATCATATAATTACCAACAGTTGAGTCAAATAAATACTGTATACAGTGGTTGTGTCAAGTACAATATTCATAAAGAAAAAGCATTAACGTGAAATGAAGGCTTGCATGATTGCCATGAAGAAAATCACAAATTTCACCAATTATAACAAGTAGCACAGGCCCTACAAGCCATAAAAGTCAGCCCTGTATAGCAACAACACCACATATATGCATACCGTCAAACAATGCCAGGAGATTGTCAGTCTATCCATACATGACTCACTGGTGAATTTTCTAGAGCAATGCATAAAAGCATAATTTCTCACTCTGCAGAGCAAGCCAACACTTTGTGTCGCACAGGGACACTGGGGATCACAACAAGCTGCTGCTGTTGTTGTTGTTGTTTGTGGGAGTACGACGGGTTCTTGCTGTACAAATATCAAGGTCACAAATACAAAGGTCCCTTTCAGTGTTGAGCTCAGACTCTAATAACCAAGATTGATTTATCTTTCAGGCCTCAGAGACAAATATCAACCCTGGATGAGTAGGATGATAGAGTTAGACTAAAAGATCGCAAAAGAGGTTGAGAACAATAACACCATGCTGACAAACGGAGAAAGCTGACTGGATCCTGACCCGTTAATATTGATCCTAAATCATAAGAATTTAAACTTAAGTAATTCCTGCAATAACCGTCATTTTGACAAACTGCCTGAATACACGTCAAACCTGTAGATCTGAGTCAGTTCTTCTTACCGGAGGTGCCCATAGGGGACGTGGCAGGGGTACCATTGTGGACATTGAGCCCCAATGATTGAGAGGAAGCTGGTGGCAAGGGCTGGGGTGCTGCACATGAGGGTCCAGGGAGGGGTCCAGGGGGGGTCTCTCTCTGTGGAGACGTCAACGGTGTGCTGAGAGGGGTGCCGGGCTGTGACGTCTGTCCTACTGCCAATCGTGCCAGTCGCCTTCTGCGGATCTTGAATAACATACAAGCAAATTTACATATTCACTAAAAAGTACTATGGTTGCTCAGACCTGCATAGTGGGAACTTATTTTGTAACAGGACTGTTGAAATGTATACATGATTAGGCATAATTGTTTTAATATCTTTGGCACAATCAGTTTGCATACAATAAGAAACGTACATCAATACGCTTTTTGCATTACCCATCTTTGATAATTAGTCCCAGACAAAAGACACAATTGATGGAGTGGTTTTCATTCACAATGTAACCAACCTTACGAACAAAGTCAGATGTGAGGAGGCTACTAATCATTGGCAGAAGAGCATTACGCTACTGTCGTAAATTAACAGCACATAGTTGCTAAGTACAGGTCCAAGGTGACAAAGAAGGAACACTTTCTAAAATGATACGTGTTGCCCAAGTGGAGCAGCTCAGTGGCCACATAGTCGGCCCACAGTTGATTGCACAATGGTGGCCCGGTGTGTTTTTTTATGCTGAGTCGTCTCGCAGGCTAATTTTTGTCTGTTAGCAAAACAACGTTAGCAACTGACAGCTAGCTCACCGCAGGAAAAATATGACAAATCAATAATATAAAGGTGTAGAAAAAACATATACCACGTGAAAACAATTCAGCGTATTTATATTAATTCAGTCGTTTTATATGTAGGTAATGTAATCCGCGGGCCAGCTTGTGCACAGCCTCTATAGCATTACGTTAGCTAGTTAGCATTGTACTCCGGCTAATTTAAATTGCTGTCCGCTACGGGTAACGGTGACAGAAACACATGAACCACATCCAACATACAGTTAAATCCCTCAGTTACATTTAATGGCACTGTACGGCTCGCGTTGGTTAATGTGACTTTTTGCTGGTATTGAACAAGCAATGCATTTGTGATTTTATCGAGGACACATTTGTTCAGTGTAACAAGGCTAGCCGCTGAGCTAGCTGTAGTAGCAAGTCGGCTAGTGGAAAACCATTTGACATGAGGTCCGAAGAAAAGGAATTCATTTAAATCCAAAATTGTAACGTTAGCAAAACAGAGCTACATCAGTTATCATCACTCTTTTTGAACGCTTTCCAGTGTCGCCTCACCTCGTCTGCGCTCAACTCCTCCATCGCAGCTAGGTCAGCTAGCCTTTTCACTTTCAACCGCTTTGATGTGTGCCAGCCAGAGCCAGCTAGCTAGCTTGTATTAGAACTAAATATGCATAGTCCAACTCGATCAACAAATAAGTGTCAGTCTTGATTGTCTTCAAGATACAAACTATGACGCCAGTATACGGAGGGCGGCAAGATACAGTTCCTCCAAAAAGTCTCTCGTTTGCTAGTTTTCTACCAAGAATGAAACAAAAAGAAAAGTAGCTAGCTATTATACGTCAAAACACAAGGGCGGCCATTTTGGTTCTACACTGTGTCACGTGACATAACTACTGGGGGAGGTGTGAGGCTTCACTGTGTCGCAAAGATAAATGTGATATTTCACCTGTTATGTGGATATTCTTGTGTCAGTCAAATGGTTTGCAGTACTCATGAATTGACTGCTAGCTGTTCTAAATTATTCCAAATCAGCCTTTTCCTCCTAAAATACAAACAGCACATGTAGTTATTTATTAAACTCAGTGTGCATGAGCACTCAGTGGGGCACAACGTCATTACAAAGAGATATTGGTCTATTCAGTGGTGCTTGCTCATTTAACTGTCTGCTGTTTATGATACATAAATCATAGGAGTGTCTGACAACTCCACCTGCAATACTTGACCATTAGTCTACTTTGAAAAATCTGGTGTGATTAGTTTCACCCTCTATAGAGTAGGAAGGAGGGTTCTGCGACAAAGTCGGAGAGCTGCTGCCTTTTCCCAGATGACCAGACAAGTTAATACACTCAAAACATTTTGATGTCCAATATATTAAATTACGTTCACACAATATTTCAGCCATCTTGGCCTGAAAAGTTCAGACCAAATGTTCATCACTGTTAACGTCACTGCTGCAGGGCTGTTGTGTTGACCTACTTTGATTTATTTTGCTGGTGATGGAGGTGGTTCGGGCAATGGAGAGATGCAATTGTAGGATAATTGAAACTTAGGTAACAAGGTTAGTGTGTGCATGAATTGATTCTTGGGCCCCTTGGGGACAGCACAAATCAGACTGTATCAACAAACAAGCTTACATATTATTATGCTCATATAACAGGAGCTGTAAGAGAGACAAGAGCAAATAGAGAAAGGCCCAAATGTTCTTGATTAAACAACACAAATAGTATGACTCACCACACCAATATGACTCATTGCACTATACTATGATGTCACATTATACTAAGACGTCACACTATATGATGACATAACACACTATACTAGGACACGCAACCATGACTCATTACACCACACTTTGACACCTCACTTATGCATTGCACATGCTCACTACATTACCTCTAACAGACTCGGGGATCACAGTTAAAAGCTCAGTTCTTAGTGAAACTCCGGAACTCTTTGCTTTAACTGTCTGCTGTTTATGAGAGGAGCTGCTGTGATTGGAATCATTGACGTTTCCGTTAACTCCACCTGCAATATTTGACAGATAGCCTACTGATACTTGTCTGATTCAAGGACTGTGATGTCACCAGCCCTAACTCTAAAGGAAAAGTTGTTGAGCTTATTTTATGTTAGACCCCTTTGTCTAACCTGTGTCTAGGCCTGTGTCGAGGCTGTTGTGAGGAGGGCCTGGCGACAGAGACGGAGAGAAGCAGCAACTCTCCTCACTCTCCTCCAGATCCAAGTACAGAGCTACAGGTCCAGTCCAAGACGCAGCTGCCACTATGAGCAGAACTAAGGTTATCTCTACATGCACCGAAACATTTTGAGGTCCAAAATGTAAGTAGGTTCACGCATCATTTCAGCTAACTATTACATCACATTATACTATGACACATTGCATTATACTATGACACATCAGGCTATACTTTGACATCACCCTACACTATGACACATCATACTGTTAAATCCTGGAGCCTTTTAAATATTAATTCTGTCAAGCATGAAACTATGCAAAATTAGAGATACATTGCACACCTGTTAAATATTATGACTGAGGTGCTGAATCAATCAAATAAAGGACTTAATACATTTTACAAACAGTTTTGTATGACAGTATTGCTGAGAAACAGCCTTCATATTAGACAAGACAGGAGAAAAGAAAAATAAGCTTTACAAAATATATATGTAGATTGTAATGCAAGTTCTTGACTGTTGGTCACAACAACTGTTATTGTGTTATTGCTGAGTGTCTACTGGATTGTAAAAGAATGGAGTTCCTTCCACCTAGTGTCACATTTGGCTACCAATCACAATCAGAATCACAATCAGAATCAGCTTTATTGGCCATGTATGCTTACGCATACATGGAATTTGTCTCCGGTTTCCACTCCGCTCTCAATGTACAAACACAAATTTACAATAAACAAGAAAATATATGTATAAAGAATAAAAAAGGGCAGCAAAAAAGTAGAACGGATGTAGGTATAAACATTTAACAGCTATATACAATATAAGTATAAATATATATCCGAGAGAAGAAGTGTATATATATATATATATATATATATACATATACATGTGAACATAAACCTATAGACAATGGCATGAATTGTAAGTGGTGGTAGCTCAGTAAGTAGCTCAGTTCTTAGGGGAACTCCTGAACTCTATGGTTGTTGGGAGTAAGTACCATCTCTTGAAGCTATAGATGGCAGATTAGCTACAATATACCACATATTATATCACAGATTCATTATATCACAGTTGCTGCCTCCATCATCACCTGTGGGATGAATGACACAGGTCAGATCTATGAGTGAGAGAATCCTAATAGCACACAATCCAAGGATATAATGACAAAAAAAACTCATTTTATTAGGCTGTACAAAATTCAAATTATTCTGTATTCATACCCTACGCCTCACTTTCTGTTGTACAACTGGGTATACATGTATCTGCATCAATGAGATATTTTATTTTTTACGAATAGCTCAACCAAATGTCAGATGGTCAGCACAAGCCAGTTGCAAAGGAAATATATTTCAAATGTGTCTCATCAGACTATAGAGATATGGAAGAAACTAAAAAGCTTGCACTTAATAGAGCCTACATTGACCAGATTAAAGGTGACAAAAACAGGCTTGATGCTCAGTTTTACTTTTTATCCGAGCCAAGCACCACTGAGCTACAAACCAGTGTAGACCAGACATTATCTGACACAAATAATGCAGTGATGCCATCTAGTGGTGTAAATCCACACCCTCACAGGAAATGCATTTTCTCCTGAACCGAGCATTGAAGTCACAATACAGAGAAAATACCACACATGTAATTTAATTTAGTGTGGTTTAGTTATTCAGAGATTAGAGTGGTGAATCGAATACACGATGCCTGTCATCACAGAGGAACTTCTTCAGAAGAACATCTTTCATTTCTCTTCACTCATTCCCTTTCTTCTTAAAAACCTGCGTGCAGACTTCTCCTTCACAGTACAGCTCCTAAGTCACAGAAATATTTATTTAATATGCTGTATAGTAAAATGTCATTAAAAAGGGGAATTCAATGAAATAAGAGTTGAACACTGTGTGGAAGAAATATTATTAAATCTATAATCTAAATTCATATTCTTACCAGATACAGCTTGTCCTCTTCAATCCAGTGAGCCCAGCCCCGGTTCTTCTTCTCTCCAGTCTGCTGACAGACCAGTTTATTCCCCTCCCATGTCACCAGTGACTGCACAGTTGGCAGAGAAGAAGAAAGAGTGTAAATTACAACACAGAACAGGTTTAGCAGCCTAAATAAACTGGAAAACATATCACATGATCTGCAAACCAATTGCAATCATTATGCTTATAATCACTGTGAGCACACAATTCACCAGGCATTTATCTTCACCTTGAGATGTCTGTTGTCCAGTCCCTGCGTAATCTCCTCAAACTCCTCACCCGCTCTGAAGGAGATGGTGTAGCTTCGGATGGTGCAGACAGTTTTGATCGTGTACTTGTCCCCCCGCTGCTCAATCACCTTCCTCTGCTTTAGCTTCAGAGCAATCTTTTGTAAGCAAGGGCTGATACCTGGAACGGTAGAGGAAGTGTACTCTCACTCTCTCTCTCAAACTCACCCACAGTCCCATGCATACCATTAATGGCACTGCAACAAAAGTACATCCTAATGTCCCCC